ATGGTCACCTGCCACAGCTCTGTCACTGCGGCCTTTGTTAAAAGAAGTTTATAGCGTCTGATATATACACAGTAGTGATTGATAAGTACTTCTTTGTAGTATTAGTTCAGGTTGGAATGGTTGGAAAGGCTAGAATTAGAATTAGTGACTAAGTTTATAGAAACAGTAAAAGGAACGAAAGCACCAAACCAACTAGGTTTAAAGAGAGTCAGATAATCTGGAGTTGGTGTTTGATTGTATAAGTAGCTATAAATTCCTAGTCAATTCTGTAGATTCACAGATCTGGGAAGTGATGAGCCATTTCAGAGAGTATACCTCTATCCTCCAAGTTACATAATACTAAATCCATGTCATTAAATAAATGATTCTAACCCTTTTTTTCCCCTTGCCTTTATTGGATTTCAAAGTTCAGTACACATTCAAATTATTCAATTTTGATATCCCTTTTATTATCAAATGTCCTACTTTTGAAGTGGAAAGCTCAGTTGGCCATGTTCCCTGTCAAGTTTAAGAAGCTTTTATCATTTAAATAAATTAAACCTTCCATCATGGGCTCCACAGAACATAATGAAGCAAGGAGAAGAAAAGCTTAAATGAAATAAACCCCTTTACTCATAGAAACAGTAGAGGCTATTGTGCAGTCTACCAATAAATGTGTGGCTCTAATCATAGTCTGATTTGTGATTTTTCTTTTCTAATTTGTCCTTAATTTTTTAGTGTTTATTAGCAATTTGACTTGCCATTCAGCAAAAGAGAGACACAGGACATATCAAGTGCAAGAGGTTGTAGGTTATTAACACTAAAGAAAAGAGCAAATTTTCATTTTTAAAAGCTGATTTATTTTAATCCAAGTTTTTTCTTTACATGATTTGATTCTTATATAAGTTGATCTCCTCTGAACTTTACTCAGATCCTTTAATTATTTTTTAAAATAATGTTTTGGGGGATTTTGTTTTTTAATCTTTGTTTTCTAAGGAAAAATAATCATAATTTCCATGTTAACATTTGGCAGAATTAATGTATATAGATTATGTATTGAATTATTGAATTAATAGGAAACTTTTTACTTTCTGTATGACACATTGACAATGTAAGAATCAACTGGAAAACGAAAACTCTTATTGTTTGAAGATTCTTTCAATGCCAAAAAGTAGCCTGCAGATTATTTTAATCTAAAATAAAAGCACACTGTTTTGAAGGTTTAACTAAAAATTATCAATCTTTCTCTTCCTTATGAATTTAAACCATTTTATTCTACATGATTAAAACGTTAAAGGTAAGAAGCACTGCTTTAGAAGGAAAGATTCAGCATGGACTCAGATAATTTATATGAGAATGTTCATGCTTGTGATGGTAATATAGAATAATTTCCATCCTAGTTTTTATAATGAAATATCTTCTTCATAATAAAAACATGTTGTTATTCAAAGTTGGGGTTTAGAGTCATAAAATTATGTTCAAACTATGAGCATTTATTATATTTAATGTTGCTACATTTAATGTTTTAGAAATATGGTGACTTTATTTTCTTATTTGTTATATAACACATTTTTTATGTCATAGCAAAGTCTATCAGGCTTTGCATGTAAGACATAGGCCAACTAGTTGTGACACCTCTGTAATTTTTTTTTTTTTTTTAATTTCAGGGCCTATATTCTCATACCTTGCATTAGGAAAGTTTTGCTTTGTCATCAGCTAGAAAATATATTCTTAATGGATGTTATTCTATTCTTACAGTTCAAGGATTCTTACTCAAGTTCTTTAAAGATTGATCTGTGGGTCAAAAATTTGAACTTGATTCTACTCAGCAAGTGTTTGTCAACTCTACTTATTCAACATGCACAGAGCTTCAATTGTTTATTCATTTCACCACTTGGAGGGATGGTTCATCATGACAAATGCTCTGTGAAGGGTTACCTTTTGGGTGTTAAACTGCTGTATCACTCCCTACTTCATCCATTCACCTGTCTGGGTACAGGTGCAGGAGGTGGTATCAAAGTTATCCTGAAGAACTGCATTAGACTGTAATGGTTAACTGTTTGGAATCTGACTCCATGAATTTGTGTCCTGGCCATTTACTAGCTGTGTGACCTACTGCAAACCATTTAAACTTTTTGTGCTTCAGTCTGCTTTTCTGTAACATGACAATAATAGGACCTATCTCATAGAGGAGTAGTGACAGTTAAATGAGCTAATATACCTGTAGAAGTGACCTCTTTTTTTATAAGTATTTTTGATAAGTATTTTTATAAGTATTTTTGATAAGTATTTTTATAAGTATTTTTGAATAAGTCATAATTTCTGTTCTACAGGTCAAAATAAATAAACTTAGTCTCATTCAGCAAACTCCATTCAATTTAAACTTTTTTTTTTAAGTGACCTCTGACTTACAAGTCTGTTTATGCTAAATAGTTGATGAAATCCAGGTATGAATTCTTTGGATTCTGTTTTTCATATAGAAAACCTCATTCTTTCTTTTTCTCATTTCCTTTTACATCTTCTTGGTGACAAAATATGCCAGCCCAGTTTTATCTCATTTGTCCCTGGTTGCAGAGTGGCAGCCTGGCCCTGTCACAGAACTCACCTTGTGCTCAGTAGCATGGCATTAGGAGTCTTTGTTCTCCACTTGGTAGGAGCAGTGTCAAAGGCCTTTGTTGGCTTTTGATACTGGGGAGGGCCTGGCTGGTAAAGGAAACTGGAGAAAGAAGGCTTTTTTTTTTTTTTTAACTGATGTTTTACTTGGGCATATTACATCCTTAAATCACAAAGCATCCCAAATTTGGTAAGCACTCAATAATTATAAGCAATTATTAGCCATTGTATTGAAAATTTAAAGCACAAAGGTATGGCTTAAGATGCCCACAGATTCTCAGTCTCCAGGAATCCCAAATCTTTCATCTGTGAACCTCACATGGCAGTATAAATTTATCCCATTCAGATAAATAATGTATGATTTTTTAGTGTGTCCTAAATATTGCATGGATGTCTTGTACTTTATCTGACATCCCTGTGCGCCAAGCACTTGCCCTCCTCCACTGTTCATTTGACATAGATGCATTTCCCCACCCCCTAAATGTGAAGGGTAATCTCAGCTGTGTCTTTCCAATGCTAAGTAACTACATTTAAAAACAAACAAGGCTGGAGTCCAGTGGTAAGAAGGATGTGACCTACCATTTCCATTAATCCCTTTATGTCAGTGCATAGAATCAAAGTAACTGCATTTACAATGAAAGGGAATGATCTAGGAATAGAGTATCTTCATTTCCATGTTTAGATTTGTCTGGTCTCAAAAAGTGTTAATATCTTGAAGTTTAGCACAAGCCTTGTTTACCTAGGAAGCATGAGAAACATGTCAACCCTTTGAAAGGCTTCTTATTAAACTGCTGGAGCTTTGATGGCAGACTAAAGAGATTAGAATTACATTTGTCAAAAAGATCCATTTCATGTACTAGTAGAGAAGCGAAAATATGCTGGTCTTTATAGACAGTAACTGAATTTAGAGAATATTTATTCTAAAATATAAATTATTACTTCTTGATAAGCTGTATTTAGTGCATCAATATCAATTTAGAAAATGTGCTTTTATAGGGAGAATTGCCTCTCCCTGACTTCTCTGTTTATAGTCATCATCACTAGTATTGGTTCTAGCATAAGATCAATGCCTATACGGAGACAGAGGTGATGAAAATGGTATCAAACAGAAAGTGTTTTATGAGAGTTCAAGGGAGATAATCAACATATTCTGAGAGTCTATTACATGGGAGAGACTATATACTTCACATGTATTTCTAATACAACCAACAGCTTAATAAGAGAGGGTGATGGAGGCAAGTAATTTTGCTAGCATCATAAAATTATCTGATTCTGAAAGCACATTAATATAACTCCCTTGTGAATATTCCATATAACCCTCATCTGTAGTTATTTTGTTCTTTAGAAGACTGAGTAAAAAATCTCGCACTTTCCAAATTCACCTCTGACTCTGATAATATAAGTGGTAATAATTTCTTACATAGTCAGTCTTTTATATTTTTCTTGATGGGGTTGTAACTTCTTCACAATATTATTTTCAAAACACATTTTTAATAAAATCTATGCTTACTTATTTGTGAGTGCTCATCTAATCCTGCATGTACTATGTATTTAACTTTACATTTGAATTTTTAAAATATTGGAATTTGAAGAGTCCAGCTTCCTACTCAGTGAAAGAATTATTACATGGACAACATTCTTATTTCTATTCGAATATTTTAGTGGTGTGAGTTTCATGAGTTTTTGAGGCAGTGTAATCAGTTAATGCGTAGTAGATTGAAATGAAGTTTGTATACTGACCTGGTATTTACCTTCCCAAAGCTTCTATATATAAATCCTTGTTCTGGCCTCAGAGCCACATAAATAAATTTAATCCCTCCTTCCACCCAACTCACAGTGCTATATTGTTAGACTGCCCAACTTTTCAGTATTTTTATAGCTTAGAACACTTATTATTTGACCTCTAAACAGAGGGTAACATTAAGAATGGGTTTGAATCATATTAATATGATCAAAAAGAAAAAAGAAAAACTTACAGAAAATAGTGATCTATTGCAAAGAGATAAATATGTTTTCTTGCACATGCATGTATACATATATGCATATACATATATACTAACATATTAATAGATGTTTATATTTATGTATTTGTATATTTTCTGTGAAATGGGAATGTGAACAAGAAAGCAAATAGCTCTATTTAGTTGTCTCTTTACTACATTCCCCCTCTGATATACAAGGAAGTGGGACAAAATGAGCTGAGCAAGCTTAGTCAGTTTCTACGTCTGATTTCAAGTGTATTGTACCTGTTAACTGGCACTGGACTGTTTCTCCCTTCAGAAGTGGCCTTGCTTGCCCTATCTTCAAGAGTTTCCTTTGGAAAACAGAATATACCTGGTATCTTGTCACACAAGTATAAAGTCATCTGTTTTTATAGTCAAGTTTTTAATCTTTCTGCCCCTCCACAGATCATTTTCCGCAAAATCAGTGATGTGAAGAAAGAAGAGGAGGAGCGCCTCAGGCAGAAGAACGAGGTCACCCTCAGCATCCCCGTGGACCATCCGGTAAGAAAGCTCTTCCAGAAATTCAAGCAGCAGAAGGAGCTGCGCAATCAGGGGTCAACGCAGAGTGACCCCGAGCGGAACCAGCTGCAGGTAGAAAGCCGCTCCTTACAGAATGGCGCGCCCATCACCGGCACCAGCGTGGTCACCGTGTCACAGATCACACCCATTCAGACGTCCCTGGCCTACGTGAAAACCGGCGAGTCCCTCAAGCAGAACAACCGCGACGCCATGGAGCTCAAGCCCGGTGGCGGCGCTGACCCCAAATGCCTCAAAGTCAACAGCCCCGTAAGGATGAAGAATGGAAACGGAAAAGGGTGGCTGCGACTCAAGAACAACATGGCAGCCCATGAGGAGAAGAAGGAAGACTGGAATAACGTCACTAAAGCTGAGTCGATGGGGCTATTGTCCGAGGACCCCAAGGGCAGTGATTCAGAGAACAGTGTCACCAAAAACCCGTTAAGGAAAACGGATTCCTGTGACAGTGGGATTACAAAAAGTGACCTTCGTTTGGATAAGGCTGGGGAGGCACGAAGTCCATTAGAGCACAGCCCCATCCAGGCTGATGCCAAACACCCCTTCTATCCCATCCCCGAGCAGGCCTTACAGACCACACTGCAGGAAGTCAAACACGAACTCAAGGAGGACATTCAGCTGCTAAGCTGCAGAATGACTGCCCTGGAGAAGCAGGTGGCAGAAATCTTAAAAATACTCTCAGAGAAAAGCGCACCCCCAATCTCGTCTCCAAAATCCCAAATGCCTCTCCAAGCACCTCCTCAGATACCCTGTCAGGATATTTTTAGTGTTTCAAGGCCTGAGTCACCTGAATCTGACAAAGATGAAATCCACTTTTAATATATATATACGTATATATTTGTTAATATATTAAAAACAGTATATACATCTATATACATATGTGTGTATATACAGTATATACATATATATATATATATTTTCACTTGCTTTCAATATGATGAACACAATATGGATTTTGATGTGTAAATATTGCATGTCCAGCTGGATTCTGGCCTGCCAAAGAAGATAATTATTAAAAACGTAGATATTGCTTGTATATTATGCAGTTGACTGCATGCACAATTTACATTTATTTATAATATCTTCTGTAATTTTAAAAAGTATGACTTTTGTTAACCAAGACAGTGTAATAGTTGAAGAATCAGGGTCCAACCTGCCAATGTTGCCATGACAAATTTGATCTCAGGCTGAGTATACTGATCTGTCATTTCCTCACTCTTCTGTTAAGTTAAAATTATGAATTAACGCCAAGGAATCATTCAACCTTTTAAACTATTAGTGCCATTTTATGATCTCATTCCATAGGATATTTTTCTGTAACATAGTGTTAGGTTATTTTCAACAACAGGCAGTGTTTGCTCCATTGAAATAACTGTTTTGTTGCCTCAGTCAGACATCGACGTGGGATATGGAACTTATACTCTGGGGTTTGTGCATGAATTGCATTTTTGCTCAACTGTACTTCTTGTTTAACGTTTACTTAGATAGTAATCATTAACTCTTATGTAAGGATATCCCTACTCCCTTCATCTTGGATAACAGCCACCATCTTATAAGCTCATGTTTTTCAACCCCATAAATACTGAACTATTAATATAGTGTATATTATTATAGGAATACTGCACCACAGGGTAAAAGGGTCTTTTAACAATTTACATTAGAGATGCTGATTTTCCAAAGGTGATGAATGTTCTAAATTTGTTTTTTTTTTAAACTTGCTCAAAGATGAACTTGAAAGGTTCTTAGCAAAAGAAAACCAAGCAAACATATACAAAATTAACTAGAATGATGTAAAATAAAAAAGAATATAAAAATATAAGGTTTGTAGCATATTTGTGACTTAGAAAGAATGGAACACAGGTACAGAATTGTTCACACCTGATTCTTACTGCTTGTAGAGGTACTACATGAAATGTGGTTAGGAAAAAAAAAAACACTAAAAAATAGATGTTAAGTTGCTCAACTCAGAAAACTGCTTTTCTATAATATTATTCTAGTTACAATTTTCTAAAGCTTTTTTTGCACACAGTTCTACTGCTGGACTTCTTCTGAGTTGATACAATAGACTACTATGGCTCAGGCAGATCTGCTTATGAAAGGAGGGTACTAAAGACCAAATTTCAGAGTCTTTTGGGCCACAAATCCTCTTCTTAGAAAGTGCCTATTATCAACTAAAAAAAAAGTAACAGAAGATCGTGTATAGCTAGACTCTCAAATGCTATGTATTGAGAATAAAATGCACATTCATTTGTAAGAACTTAGAAAAGTTTATTTCTTTTGACTAAAGTTTATTTTATAAAGTTGATCAGAGAGGCATACTTTTAAATTGGTGCATGAATGACATTTAATAGTGGAAGTAGGACAGTTATTGTTTGCATTGAGTTGAAAATATGTAACAGTAATTTGTATATTATTGGACCATCTGTACATATATATTAACATACACGAGGTGATAGCAAAATCAAAATAGATATTTTGATGTATTGTACCCATTTTTATGAGCTTTTTAAACTATCTCCCAGGATCCCCAAACAAAAACAACACAACTAAAGGACAAGTTATGACCATCTGCCTGGAGAAGTATAAAGCAAAGTGATTTGTAAAAACAGTTGATATTTTAGAATTTCTATTAGAGCTTCTTCACATGCCCACAAGATGTGCCTCTTTAATCTAGGAATTTCAGGACAGACGTTATGTGCCATGGGTTTCATTTTCCTATTTTTGTGCCCATAACTTCCATTACCCATAATGGAAGTTTTCAGAGTAGCACGTCTTCATGCTATGCTACAATAACTACCTACCATAGGCACAGGACAATGAAGTAATCATGGTGTAGGAAATCAACGTTGAAAGTGGGACTCCACTGCTTTCATGATGAGGATGGTACTTTTCCTTGACTTCTGGTATTTATTGAATTTCAGGGTATTTTCTAAATAACCATATCTGAGACAAGCTTGCCTAAGCTTTCAACAGTGAGTGGTAAAAAATAATCTGAGTACAGAAATGGTTAGTTTAACTTTAGCCACGTGCTTCAGAAATAATGGTTGGTGTAAAAGTATGAGTAACTCTGAAACATCAGAGTGGTTTGTAGTTGGCAATCCATACCTTTGCTTATTAGTGTTGCTAATATTTACTGTGTTCTAACATTGACTTCATCTAATTGACTTACAATACTGATGTTTATGTATTGGGAAAAGAAACATATGGCTTGGAACTACTTTAGTACAAAGGAGGGAAGAGTATCAGTTGTTTATTTATGGTGCGGTTATCACAGTATTCTTTTCCAGCCACCCCTGTTCCTGTGTGCATGACATTATGTGGTGCTGAATACACTCTGCTGTTTTCAGCAGGAATGCATGTGTTCAGCAAACATTGTATATAGAGTAATCTTATAGGTTCTCAGAATCCACAACTCTTTCCAGTCAAACTTACTCAGACTTGGGTAAAGGGTAAGCGCTTACTTTAATATGTCCAATAATGATACAATCATGTTCTGTGTTGCCTCAACCAGCACATAGACAGTAGGTTCTCTTTTGGGGGACCAGAGGACTGCATGTTTTATTCTTATGCTGTATAGATGCTCTTGGTGCATCCAGAATAAATTTTTTAAATTATTATCTTTCTGAACAATGTAATAATAGGAGTAAATAGATATGTATTTAAAATTGGAACATTTTCCAAAACAACTTACACATCTTCAATATTCTTCTATGATAATGTATAAGATCAGATGCTGTACCTTGGACAGGTGGTTGCAATGTGAAGACAGAAGTCAAACAAAAAAAAAATGTGAGCTGCATATCAGGATGACAAGTTTTATCAGTCTATATTAGGATATTATTGCACCACATTGATCTAGTAGAGGAGCTTATGATAAAGGCAAATAGGAACACAAAAGGCAGATGACAATTTCAAAGCAGTTCATGGACCACGTTGACATAAACAGTCTTTAGAATGGTCTGGGCATAGATGTTGAATAGATACACAGACTTCATTGTTAAAATGGAAATTATTTTGTTATGACACAGGTTTCATCTTACATTAAGTTTAGCATTACAAATGTCCTTTCTAATTCTCTGGCTCTGATCTATGGGGTCGCAAAGAGTTGGACATGACTCACCAACTGAACACCAATAGCAACACAAACGTCCGAAGTGTTCAGTTAAAAAAAAACAACATGTAGATCACAGCAGGAGATTTAGAAAGTTTGGAGTTTTAAATTGTTCCTAAGAACAGATATATATTCCCCGAGTACCCAGCACTTTAATAGGAATATTAATTATGACTGCTAACTAAAATGCATTTTGAAAGCTAATCTTACTGGAGCCTAAATGAAAATCTCAGTTTTCTGTCCTTAACTTTAAGGAGATTTGGTTCACTTGTTCTGTTTTAAATAACTAAATTCTTTTGGAAAATCTTTATTTTTAAATTAGTCTTCAGAGCAATGATTGTTTATGAAGTGTGCAGTGGCTGATATTAGTGAAATTATTCGTCATGTCCCTAATAAATTCCACTATCTTGTAAAATTTTTATCTTTTAAGTTATTTTATGTCTCCTTTCCAAAATTTTATGTAGGTAATCAGAAAATTTGTCTAGAGTGTACGTACCATACATGGATAACTTTAAAATATGAATATTTGTAATCATGTGAATGTTGTGTTTCATACTTTGTTACATATAGGAGTATTTCTCTTGTGGTCTAGATGGAAAGGGAGAGAAGAAAGAACAACTTTTTGGAAAACTAGGATTCAATCCTAGGATGAATATCTGAGCTCTGTCTTGGATTCTAAATCTGTGTCTTTGTCATAATCACAGTAACTATGGGCAAGTTAGCTGTTTTTTAGTGTATCTGGGCTTCAGTTTCCCAATCAGTAATTAATAAGATAAGAACTGTCCTCTTCTTATATCAAGATGATGTTAGGTCAGTGGAAAATCATCTTCCTCTTTGATGAAAATAACATTAAAGACAAATTATCATTTTGTTTTGTTTTTTCTTTCATAGAAGACCAGCCAAGATGCATTTTCTAAATATTCTAGGTTTTAGAGAAGACTTCTCTGGTCAGAGGGTGGTGGAGAAAGACATAAGTGGCTAAATAATTATTGGTCACTGACATGTGAATGTAAGATTTGAAAATTATTACTAATCAAACATGAGAAGAATGAAGAACTTTTAGAAGAGAGAAATAAGAGAAAAAGTCATATATAAATATTATGATTTTTCTTATTCTATTTAATCATATAGCTCAGCAGAAATTCTCAGTTTTGTGAGAAAATGTAAACAAGTTGAGTATTCAAGGTATATTTCATCTTCAACCTTTTGTATGAAAATAATCATGACTTACTCAAAATAGTGGCTCCACATAGGTAGATGCTCTTACACCAAAAATTTTAGCTATGAAAGAATCCTTTTCAATGACCAATCAGTTCTTCAATGTGTATCTTGAACTGGAAAAAGAACAGGTTTAAAAAAGGAAAACCATTTGAATTACATTAGAGAATTACTCATGTTTTATCTGAATGAGAGTGTTTTAAGTTTAAACAGTTATAGTTTATAATTAGTGATATCGATAACTCAAAAGAAGCCACTTATAGTATGTAAAAATTTATTTTCAAAAATGAGATTCATTTTCTTAATGATTGTTCAATCTGCAAAGACAGTCTTGCAAGCTAAGAGAGACACTCAAACCTGCTGTACTGCATTTGCTATGACCCTTTGAGCAAAGAAAACAGCAAAAGCATGTAGAAACAAAGGGGAAGTTTTAATGTACTATAAGAGGTATTTAGATCTCTATTGGATTTTCTAATCTTTCCATCAAATCAGAATTTTTAAATTGCTATTAAAAATTAGGAATTAGGTGTTATTTTGAAAACAGACACAAATATCTCAAGTTAAAGGAAGAATAGTTACAAATGTCTGAAACTTTCAAGGAGTATTAGAGAAGGTTTAAGGGGATAGATAGATAGATCATCATTGACCATGACTTTTTGCTATGCATTGTAAGCCTTATGAATTATTTTCTAAGTGGTCAGTGACAT